ACACCCCTAGGGTTTCACCCACTTGGTTGCCTAAATTAAAATGGCCATGTTACGCACGCGAAGTATCATGGCAAAACAAAACAAATATAAGATCATAGTCCCTCGATGACGCTATACAAAGGTTGCCTAAACAAATGATCTTGGTCCCACAAAAATGCTAAGATACTTGGCAACATTGCTATCATGGTCATACGATGACCCACAACCGTCCCGTTTACATCCAAAGATAGGGTTGTTTACCAAATCAATGGTAAATCAACAATGCCAAAGGAATAAAAATGCACAAGAAAGACATTTGAGTAGGTAGATAGCTTCTAGTTACTTGCTCCATTTCAAAACAATCCTTGCTATTTTCAAAAACAAACACACACACATTTCAAAAACATTTCAAAACATCTTACAAAACATTGAAAGATTTTTCAAAAGACAAACATCTATGTATACATTCTTATGAACAAGAATCATTACAAAGATTGCCTAAACAAATGGCCTCTTTTCAAAATACTTTCAAAACCACACCAAACACCAAGCACCATTTCAAACAATTTCAAGCAAAGCAAGTGATCTAAACAAGTAACTAAGAGCCCATGGAAAACCATGGATGAAAAGGGTGCTAGCACCTTCCCTTTTCATAATCTACCCCCCGAACTCAAGAAAACATCTCAAAGGTCTTTCCTGTGCTTTTTTACCTTTCCTTTTGGATAAAAGAAAAGTCGGTGGAGACTCTTGCTAATCGCGACATTTGCGACAAAACGCAAAACCTCAAGTCAGTTCTCCCACCATATCACATATAGGAAATGGTTTGGAGAGTTGAGATGGTCAGGTTACAAAGATCACATGTTATGGCATTTTGCTTATTTTTTAAGCAAGGTGGAAAACTAAAATCCCAATGTGTGGTACAAGCTATGTAGAGTGGCTGAATCACTTTAAACATGCTTCTTCTAACATTATAGAGGAAGTTTGTGCAGAAGGAACAAGTTAGAGGCTCAATGCAAGTTGACTTTGTGATTACACTTTTCAAGAATGGCAATGTTGCTTTCTTCCAAAAAAATGGATGAATCTTTTGGACAATGTCTCTAATGCTTGGATCATGGCTCTAGAAATTGTGTAAACCATTAATTATGGAGTTACAAACAAGTTTGAGGCATGTAAAGTAAATATTATGCAACCTAGCATGAATTTTGTTCATGTTCATCCTAAAAATATGCCTTGTAAAACAAGAATGAAATCCTAACTTCTTGCTTTCGATTCTCCTTGCTCAAGAATGATCTCAAATATTTCTTGGACTTTTTAGAAAGCTTGTAAAATGATCTAAAACTTTCATGTTGGACAATTTTGAAAATTCAATTTGGAACTATGTGAAACTTTGTCAAGAAGTTAGGTAAAAAATCTGCCTAACTAGGGCAAAATTTCACCAAGTGTTTTTGTTTCGTGGACATGTCTTTATGAATTTATAACTTAAAATCCAAGAATTTCTAGAAAAATTTATGTCCCAAAATGTTTTAGATCTCATTAAGATCTACAACTTTAATGTTGGAAGTTTTTCTTGAATCGTCTAGCATCATGGGGAAAATTTGGCACAAAGTCATGAAAAAAGGTTAAGTTTCCAACACTTAAAAAAATTTCTAAGTCTTAGAATTTTGACTTTTTGATTTCTTGATGAAAAATATTCATATTTTGACATGTTTTGATGAAATATTATTTTTGAAACTTGATTTTGATTAAAAAGTCAAAGTTTGACTTTTTAGTGTATCAGTTGACTTTTCATCAGTTGACTGAATTTCAACTATCAATTAATTGATCTTTGGGGAATGTTTTAAGCCATGCCATTAGGTCAAAATGATGCATTTGAATCCTTGATATCATGTCTGAAATCAACAAGTCATGTGTTAGGTCAAAAGTCAAAAATTGAACCTTCTTAGTCAAAACCCTAATTTTGACCATTCTGCCCTTTTGATGATCTGATCAAATTTCTTGAGGAATTATGATCCAAACTTGATCAATTGCCATATATGAGTTCAAAATGTTGATATGGATAAAAATTATGAAGTTTGACTATAAATTGACCACAATTGACTTTTTTCCCCAATACAATTGATTTTAGGTCAACTGATCAATTGACTGAGCAAAAATGTGATCCAAAGCTTGAAACTTGACATGAGAAATCTTGGGAGTCCAAAGTGATCCATGAAAGTCATATGAAGCATTAAAAGTCCAATTGTCCTTATACAAAATTAAACCCTAATTTTGAGTCATCAGTGCTTGAGGAGGTGTCTTGAGCTGATCAAACATTGTGCAGTCTTGAATCAATGGAGATGTTATGGTAGAATTATTGAGAAATTGAGAGGGAAAATTTTGGGGTACAACAAAAACCAGTTTCCTAACCACAATGGAATTTGAATCCAACGATGAAAGAAGTTGTACGAAAAGAGGTGGTGAAGTTGTTAGAAGTGGGGATGATTTTATCCAATTTCAGATAGTGCTTGGGTGAGTCTTGTATAAGTAGTTACGAAAAAGGGTGGCATGACGGTGATAACAAATGAGAAAAATGAATTGATTCCAATGCAGACCGTAACTGGATGGCGTAATTGCATTTATTATAGAAGACTCAATCAAGCAACAAGGAAAGACCATTTTCCACTACCGTTCATGGACCAAATGTTGGAAAGATTATCCGGACAACAATTCTATTGTTTCTTGGAAGGATATTTGGGATGCAGTCAAATCATCGTGAATCCCGTAAACCATGAAATAATAGCCTTCACTTGTCCATTTGGCATCTTTGTGTATCGATGTATTCCTTTTGGTGTATGCAACACACCTGCAACATTTCAACGATGTATGCAGACCATTTTTTCAGATTTGATTGAAAAATGTATCGAGGTATTCATGGACGACTTCTTTGTGTTTAGTGAACCATTTGAATTGTTCTTAAACAACTTGGACACCATACAAAAGCGATGTGTAGAAACGAATTTGGTGTTGAATTGGGAAAAGTGCAACTTTATGGTTACCAAACACATCGTACTTGGACACAAGATTTCAGCCAAAGGAATAGAAGTAGACAAAGCCAAAGTTGATATCATTGAAAAGCTGCCTCCACCAACCAACGTTAAGAGAATTGGAAGTTTCCTAGGCCGTGTCGGGTTCTATTGAAGATTCATCAAGGATTTCTCAAAGATCGCAAGGTCGTTAAGCAACCTACTCAACAAATACATGTCATTTAACTTTGATAAAAATTTATTATTTTCTTTTGAATGTTTAAAAAAAATTGATCACTGCACCCATAATCACTGCACCCGATTGGACAGTCAATTATGAACTTATGTGCGATGCAAGAAAAGTTTTAAATGATGCTCAAGTTAACTATGTGACTACAAATAAAGAATTTCTTGCCATAGTGCATGCATTAGAAAAGTTTTGGTCTTATCTCATAGGTTCAAAGATTATTTGTTATACTGACCATGCAGCGATCAAATACTTGATTAACAAAGTGGATTCAAAACCAAGAATAATCAGATGGATTCTTCTTTTACAAGAATTTGATTTAGATATTTGTGACAAGAAAGGAACCAAAAATTTAGTTGCGGAACATCTATCAAGATTGGTGAATCCCGAAATTAAAAAACAAGAAAGGGAGGTACTTGAGGAATTTCCCGACGAGAAATTTCTTATGTTTGAAGAAAGGCCATGGTTTGCAGATCTTGCAAATTACAAAGCATATGGTCTTATTCCCGAAGACTTCAATTGGCAATAAAATATGAAATTCTTACGTGATGCCACTCATTACATGTGGGATGATCCTTATTTGTTTAAAATCGAAGTTGATGGGTTATTAAGAAGATGTCTTACTAGGGAAGAAGAAAGAAACATCACATGGCATTTCCATAATTCCCTATGTCGGCCATTATAGTGGAGAAAGAACAACTGCCAAGGTCTTGCAAGTAGGACTCTATTGGCCATAACTATTCAAAGATTTATATGAACATGCCAAAAATTGCGATAATTATAAAAAAAAAAGGGTTGGTGGAATTTTAAAGAGAAATCGAAATGCCTTTACAAAACATGTTAGAAGTGTAGGTTTTTTATTTCTGGGGTATTAACTTCGTCGGACCTTTTCCTTCATCATTTACCAACGAATATATCTTGGTGGCAGTTGATTATGTATCCAAATGGGTAGAGGCAGTGGCAACATCGAAGGCAGACGTCAAAACAGTGGTGAAATTTTTGAAAAGAAATATCTTCACTAGGTTTAGAACACCAGGGGTTTTGATTAGTGATGGGGGCTCTCATTTCTGTAATGCACAACTTGAAAAGGCTCTCGAACACTATGGTGTCAAACACAAGGTTGCAACGCCATATCACCCATAAACCAATGGACAAGCGGAAGTATATAATCATGAAATAAAAAGAATTATGGAAAAAATAGTTTCATCATCACTGAAAGATTGGTCGTTAAAGCTTGATGAAGCAATTTGGGCTTACCGTACCGCTTACAAGTAACCAATAAGCCTTACACCATTTCAGATGGTATACAGTAAAGCTTGCCACTTACCAGTTGAATTAGAACACAGGGCTTTTTGGGCTTTAAGGTTTCTCAATTTTGATTCACAATAAACCAGTGTAAAAAGGAAACTACAATTGAATGAGCTTGAATAATTAAGGCTACAAGCATATGAATCGTCAAAGTTGTACAAGGAAAGATAAAATAGGTATCATGATAGTAAAATTCTTCCAGAAGATTTTAAAGTTGGACAAATGGTTTTACTTTTCAATTCCTGATTGAGATTGTTTCCGGGAAAACTAAAATCAAAGTGGTCTTGGTCGTTCCAAATAAAAAACATCAAGCACTATGGTGCAATTGAACCGAAGGATCCAATGTCTAAGCAACATGAATTGTAAATGGCCAAATGTTGAATTTGTACTTAGGTTGTGAAATTGATTGAGTCACCACAATAATTTCGTTGCACGAACCATAAAAGCAACAAAGCGTCGAGCTAATGACGTTAAACAAGCGCTCGTTGGGAGGAAACCCAACTCTGTAAGTATTCTTTCATGTTTTATTTAACTTTAGGTAACATTAGAGGCAGGATTTTGTACTGGCACAACAAGATAAAATTTTGTAGAATTCTAAATTCCACAGAGTTCGCTAAGCGAAAAGTTTATCCCAGAAAGTTTGCTAAGTGAACTAATTTTCGCTAAACGAAGTATCGGTGGTCAAACCTGCATTTATGACCACTAAATGAAACTACTTACTCACCTACCAGACCTTTTCTCTTATTTAAAGATCCACTTTTAAAAAATTGTCACTTTTTCTTTCTAAAAAACCTCAGCAGCCACTCACTCTCTCTTACACCTCACTTTATTCACTCTTGCACACTACTCCTCTATCTCAAATCTCTGCAACATCAGGTATGTAAAGTCTATACTCCTCATCATCTTTTACATACTTTGTTTTTATTTTTGTACTCCAAAGTTGCATGCTTCATGTTACTAATCTAGGTTTAATATTCTTGACATAAGCATTTTTTTAACTTTATGGTAAAAGTTTGATGTTTAATGAAATTGTATTTATGTAGACTCATGTTGTTACTCTTCTATGTTTAAGAACTAGGTTAACTGTCATAATTCATGCTTTATATTTTTTATGTTCATAGTATGAATATAATTTGAAAACATTGAATGAATAAGCATAGTACATCACTGTATTGATAAGTAACAAGAAGAAAAGTTACAAATCTCATAAATATGTCAACAATTTTTCCAGAATTGCTTAGTTCTCTAAGTGAAAGTTTGTTTAATAAAGATAACTTCTGTTCACTGGAGCTTGCTAAGAGAACTCATCCTGATACAAAATTTCAGTTTTATTAATAGACCCAGTACTTCTGTGTTTAATGGTTGTTTGCAGGCATGGCTCTCAAACAAAATGTTACTTCCCAGAAATAGAAAACCATTGGGGTTGGATCATCAAGAGCGCAAGAATCCTTTGACCAAACAAGGTTTGTGGGACATAAGCAACGGGATAGGTTTCATGATCTAATTGGCAGGAGCATTTAGGGTGAAAGAAATTTTGAACTTAATCCTCAAGAAGACTATCAGACTTTAAGTACTTAGTGGTTCGACTTCAAATGAGATGTGCTCTTGAACCCTCACTAACATGTGAACTATGATGTGCTTCGTGAATTCTATGTGAATGCTTTTCCGTTAGAGGGAACTTCTTTTTCCATCTCAACCAAGGTTGGGGGAAGTATCATTCACTTTCATAGGGATGCTATCAATGAGTTTTTAGGTAACCCGCTAGCCTTGAAAGAGGGGGAGAAATGATGTTATCAACAAACCATCATTATTTCATCATATGTTGAGAAGATTTGAGAGAATTTTGTTGGAGGGTCAGAGTGTGGAAAGGAAACTATTCAGTTTGGCAATCAGATTTCATCGAGAATATTTACTCCCAGAGGCTCAAATTATTATCCTGTCAATTTTACATAATATCAGGCCTAGGAGTCACACCTCCACCTTTACCAAGGACGTCGCTCAACTCCTTTATCTAATCATGAAATGGAGAAGGATAGATGTTGCTCAAATCATTTCTACTAAAATGAGGAATGTTGCTGAAAGTGGAAGGGAGTTTGGATCGGGAACCAAAACCACTTGTCCCCTTGTCTATCACAGCCTAATCATGGGATTAATCATAGATGCCCGAGTGCATATTCAAAATTTTGTGCACTTAGAGATCAAAACAAAGGTGAATGACGCATATGTTGAAAGGTATTACATGGAAAAAAAGACAAAGAAGGGGCCAGAATTCTTCTGATACTTTGAGCTTCGATAATTGGGATCCTAGGCTCCGACAAGATTTTACTTACACTTGGGATAAAAAAGATTCCAATCATAGGGTTTTTATTTCTTTACATGATTATATTTACATATTGCAAATCCATCCAGGAGAGAAGCCCGATGCATCCCACCAAATGATGTCTCCGGAGACTTTTCAGAGTCATATTTCTTAGCCTGGGGACATGCCATTCTACCAGGGGGTGGCAACTGGTCAAGGAGATGAGGATGAGGATGCATAGTCTGATGCGGAGGATGAAGAAGGAACTCCTGGAACTGATGATGATAAAGTAATGGGAGAATAATAAAAGAGGAGTACCATTGAAAGCTCGCCATACATGAGTGAGTTTTAAAATCTTTCACTTTCAGTTTTAATCATTTCATTTTCAGTTTCAGTTTTAATATTTCTTAGTTTATGCACTTATTATGTAATCTTTTGGCAGTATTTTATACCGTAAACTTCCTTGACTTGGCTACTCTTTTAAGTTGTTGGTATATCATATCTTGTTTTGTTTATAAAGTTTGTTGAACATGCTTTGGTAATCAAACATGTTTTGGTTGTCAAATATTTGTTTGTGTTATGCCTTGACTGTTGCTGGGGATCGGGAATCTTTTGATCGTTGACAACGAGAAGTCCTAGGATCACTGTTGAGGAATATGTGTATCTTCCAGCCCTTTGACAACCTGTGCGGAGAGAAATCATACTGTCGGGAGAAGTCAGGAGTTTGGTTTGTATGCCAACCTACTGGGGTTTCAAGGATGAGAACAGTTTTTTAGGAGCTTCAGTTGTCCGTTATTCTGTTGGTGGCTGTAATTTCCAACAGGTGATGAAGAAATTTTTTGAGGATGATCGTAACTTCCAGCCGGTGATGAAGGAAATTTTGAACGACCGTGAATTCCAACAGGTGATGAAGGAATTTTTGATGATGATCGTAACTTCCAGCAGGTGATGAAGGAAATTTTGAACGACCTTTCAACTTGAAATGTAATTCGTTTTGGAGAATAAATCCTTGACAAATGTTGGGGAAATAAACCCATGACTGATGGTCTGTTTAGAGAGATGATAAACTTCTCGAGGACGCTTGAATTTCTTTTTCAGAAATATTTCGGAGAGGTTTCATCACTGCACCTAGTATCTGATGCTTGTGGCATTGTCAGGAATCTTGGACTGTTCGTAACCCCATTGATGAGATTGACATTTAAATGCCCCAAGTGATGGTGACGGAGACTTGCCCCAGGTTATCCCGCAATTGAGAGATTTCTTGAAACCTTGACTGGACTACCCCAGGTTCACTGAGCTTTGAAATATTTGTTGAAATCTTGACTGGACTGCCCCAGGTTCACTGGACAATACCATATCAAATCCCCTTTTGTGGATAGGAGATTTTTGTAACGGAAGTGTCATCCCACTTGAAGTGATTTTATTCACCGAGAGAGTTTTCGTTCCTCCGAACATTCACTGTTGTGAATTTCTTTGCTGTCAAACAAATAAACATGTGCAAACAATGATATTTTAATAATGCAAAGTTTATGTTTGTCTCGAAGTTTTGAAAAAATGCGTTTTTTAGCAGAAAACTTTTTATAAGACAAATTCAACACAAGATTTAGGGCAAAGCCTTACAGGAGTCAGGATACCTTTTGTAACAGTATGCTTTCGAACTAACCCATGCTTCAATTAAGACTTTCGAAGGATTGTAATGTGGCTTGGTTCACGATTTAAGAAACAAAGGATAAAGGCTCAAAGTATATTTGTACCCACCCACTCTTCGTGATGTCCTTCAATCCTAAACTCAGTTAATTGTGCGTCGCACTCTATTCGAGTTTGGAACGACTTTTGGGTGATAGTTAACCAGTTGAATTTATTGGGAGGCAATCATTATTTTTGCAACATTTTTCATGTTGTTGAGGATTGGTAATGACCCTTTTTTTGATTTGTTATCCCTAACTTTTGCCTGACTGTTCCTGTTTTCGAGATCACAGTCAGCGGGATGCCCCAACTTTCTTAAGCCTCCTTTGTAGGTTTTGGCTCAGTGGGCTTTTCTCTTTTGAGAGATAATGACTGACTATGAGATAGGGAACCATCACTTTGGTTCCAAAGGAAAGTTTTTGATGTTATTCGTTGTATTACGAACTGAGAGTTTGCGACTTCAATGCGCATCTTTTTTGAATTAACTGAGAGACTATCCTGCCCCAGGTTTAAATCAAAGGTTTCAATTTGTGTTTAAAACAGAAAACTCCTACTTCTTTGGCTCGAAGGGGTTGACTAGGGATTATCTTCCTTATAAATCCAGTGTTTAGGATTTGAAAGAAACGCATGTACATCGTCAGCAAGGTCTTGCTCAAAAGCATACTATATGAGATTACGGTATTATTTCGTCATCCTCCCTCTAAAGGCTTGTAGATTTTTATCAAGAGTTAAATATCATAAAGAAAGTAGAAAGTATATTTTAAGAATAGTGAAAACGAATGGATGAATTCAAGACAAACATATGCAATGCATTAATGAAACAGAGTTTGACATCAACAGATAATTGTTTGAATAACAAAAGAAATTACAACTTGAAAATTCAAATGGAACAAAAGTCTCTCAATTCGAGCTTTGTCATTTCAAATGGAGAACCCTTAGCGGAAGATTTTCATCTCGCCATCCGGCATGAATTCCAGTACTCCTTCGTCAATCAAGTCTTGGATCTTATTTTTCAAAGCCCAACAGTCATCGGTGTCATGTCCAGGACTATAGGAGTGGTATACACAAAATGCGTCATGGTGATATCTAGGGGCAAAGGTATTGGGCTTCTGAATGGGATCCTTTAAAGCAGTCAGATTGACCTCCAACAAGCGCTCCAGTATTAGAGATGATGGTATGTCGGTTTCTGTGAACTGCCTTCCAGACATATTTTGCCTACGCCGATTACGCCGTTGATGCTGGCGAGGTTGTTGATGGGCTTGTGACCCTGAAGCAAGCTGAGGAGCCTTTCCCTTGTCTTCTTGTCTCAAAGGGGGTTGAATGATGACTTGATCTTCAACCTTAGATGTTTTCCCCACTTGGTTGTCCCGAGGCAGTTTGCTGACGAGAACCCTGAGCTCTTCTTGTCTTTGAGCCAGGTCTTGAATGAGAGCCATTTGGCCCACTAGTTGTCCCATCATATGGATCTTCATTGTTGCCAGCTCAATCTGAAGTTCTTCCAACTGATCATTCCTGACACTGCTTGAATTCCCTAGGACCATGCCCCTTGTGAGGAGAGCTTTCACTTATTCTTGCCCCTGAGACAGGTTCAAGAACATTTCTTGAAGTTGAGCATTTTGATCCTGGATATCTTTGACAGTCCTCTCTAGAGCCATCTCTACTGAAATAAACAGTAGGAGAATAAGGAAACCTGAAAAGGAAAACCTGCATGATATGTGGATGCATGTTTTCAAGGATCTCTCGGGGTGAACATAATAAAATGTTAGAGGTTGAACTTTGATCAACATCTTTGATTGGAGAACTTTGTAATGGTGGATGTCTTTCCACGAGAATCAAGCTCACCATGTCGAGTGGGTCATAGCCCCTGATTCAAGTTGTTGCACTTGATTTTTGACGGCGTTTGTTCAGAGGAAAACCCTCTTGCCTTTTGGTAGATGTCTGGTTCAACATGACCCTGCATCAAAAGACCCTCGAGATCCTTGAAATGGTTATTGAAAATGCTATGGTATGATGTTATGATGTTATGTACATGTATGCAGAAGTAAGTAAGTGTATATACAAGTAATCATATTCACACAAAGAAGACAAATCCTTAGGTTTAGGCTTGCATGGGGTTTGTAGGTAAGTACCCTCTTGAAGTTAGTTGGCTTAACCTGTCCTAAAATAGAAATCGGGTTCTAAGGAGCTTAATATCACTGGATTATTTTCTGTGTTCATGGTTTCAGTTTAGCCACTTTACTGGCGACCGAAATATTCCAAGAAAACAATCCTCAATGAGTGTAGTATCGAGTATCTACCAACTTCGGACTGCACCAAAGTCGGTCACCTCACTACCCCTAAAAAGGCCAAGATGGTCAAGTAAGGTTCTAAAGTCCGTTGATGCTTCGTGACACCACGCGGTGGCCCCGTACTCTCCTTGATTCAACTCAAGGGTTACCGGTACCAACCAAAGTGCCACATCAACGTAGCTACTGTTTCAACCATGTCGGTATACCCCGCACAGTTCCCTCACAGTTTATTGCTACTTACCTAAAAAGGTGCCCCCAAATCCGGGTGTAGGATTTAAAACAAACCCAAACAAGGAACCCACAAAGTAAAGCAATCAAAGCAATCAAAGTAAGCATGTATAGGTGATCTAAAACCCTAAGGTAACCCCACTTTTAGAAAGATCCTCAGCAGAGTCGCCAGTTCTGTGATACGGTGGGAGAACTGAATTGAATTTTGCGTTTGTTTTCGCACTTGTTCGGTTTAGCAAGAGTCGCCACCGACTTTTTATTTTATCCTAAGGAAAGGTCAAAAAGCACAGGAAAGACCTTTGAGATGTTTTCGTGGGTTCAGGGGGTAGATTATGAAAAGGGAAGGTGCTAGCACCCTTTTCATCCATGGTTATCCATGGGCTCTTAGTTACTTGTTTTAGATCACTTGCCTTTGCTTTTCAATTGTTTGAAATGGTGATTTGTGTGTGTGGTTTTGAAAATGTTTTTAAAAAGATGCCTTGTCTAGGCAACCTTTGTAACGATTCTTGTTTGAATATATACAAAGGTGTGTGTCTTTTTGAAAAGATAATTCAATGTTTTGAAAGTTGTTTGGAAATTGTTTTTGAAGTTGTGTTGTGAAGTGTGTTTGAAAAAATGGCAAGGATGTTTTGCAAGATTTTTGATCAAGTAACTAAGAGTTGTCTACCCTATTTTACTCAAAGATTTTTCTTATGTTTTAACCCTTTTAACAGTGTTGTTTCACCATTGTGTTTGATGAACAACCTTGCGTTAGGATGTTGAACGGGACATGCGTGGGTCATCGTATACAATCATTGAAGGCAACTTGTGAGACATTCTAGCAATTTTGTAAGGGACGAGATCGTTTTATCGAAGGCAACATCGAGGGTCATCGAGGGACTACGATCTTTGTTTATCGAAGGGACATTTGCTAGAGTGTCTCATACTCGAGGGACATGATTGCATTTTCCGAGGCAACAAGCGAGGTTACCCTAGAGGTGAAAGTGTGAATTGTGTATTGATGTTCATGCATTTATCTTGTAT